CTTGCCTAAGGACACAACAACTGTTTCCACTAGAGCCACAGTAGCACCTGATATTCCCACAGGTCCGAAGTACAAACCAGGCCCAGTTCTGTTCAGCTTCTGTGATCTGACATCAGGAGATTTGGCAATTCTGTCGATATGACCCACCCTCGAGGAAAAGAGAGCAGCAGAATAAACGTGCCTCAGAAACACACAAGACTCCTTTGTTTTACATGTTTGGGTTGGGGGTCTTTAGGAAAATCAAATCTTTTTAAAAAACCTGCTTTCTCTTTTTCTTCATCTGTGAATAATTAACATCAACCACGAGACAGAAGCAAAAAACTTCACCTGATCACACTGGAACTGCAGCAACTCAGGAATAAAGCTGCACTATGTCACTTTTCTTGTGGACAGTCGGCAACCTGCTCGTCTCCATGGAGATGTTGTTGCTTTGCCTTGAATGTTGAGCAGATTCTTTCTTTTTCTCCCTTCTTTCATTTGACTTTACTTCGCCTCTTCCTCCTTCTTTCTCTCTTCTCTCTCTCCACCCTGTGGCTGTTTATCAGTCTGTCTCTCTCTCTCTTTCCCTTCTTTTACTTGACTTTACTCTGGAATGTCCCGCAGTATGGCATTAAACTTGTCTCTCTCTACACATTTGTGTTTGTTCAGCCCTAAAAACAGCTGCCTATAAATCGATCAAATCTCCATGGAAACGAGCAGAAACACCAGAAAAGTTACTTAGTGGATCTTTAACTTTTCGTGCAGATGAGTTTGAGATTGCAGCAGCTGTTTGGTGAGCTCATCCCGCTGAAGAGAGTAAACATATTAAAGGATTGTGTTTTTATTCCCCCTTTGGAAATAAATGAAGTAAGAGAGAAAGAGAGAAAGCGAACACCCAAAATGACTCATCTGTTTCTGGGTTGAAAATGGTTTGGTGTGATGTGATAGTGTCTGTCTCTCTCCTCTTTCCTCTCTTTCTTTTTCTCTCAACGTCAACTTTACTCAGAGTCTTTTCTTTCTCTTCTCTCTCTCCTCCCTCTGTATGTTTATCTGTTTGTCTCTCTACCCATGATCTTTCTTTTTCTCCCTTCTTTTACTTGACTTTACTCCGCCCCTCTCTTCTTCTTTCTCTCTCTCCACCCCATTACTGTTTTCCTCTCTCTCTCTTTTTCTCCACTCTTTCACTTCACTTTACTCTGTCTCGCTCTCCTTCTCCTCTCTCTCTCTCTCTCTCTCACTCTCTGTCTGTTTATCTCTGTCTCTCTCTCTCTCTCTATCCATGATCTCTCTTTTCCTCCCCTCTTTCACTGGACTTTACCCCGCCTCTCTCTCCTTCTCTCCCTTCTCTCTCTCTCCACCCTCTGTCTCTCTCATTATCTCTCTTTTTCTCCCCTCTTTCACTTGACTTTACTTCACCTCTCTCTCCTTCTTTCTCTTCCCTCTCTCTCTCTCCCCTCCACCGTTTGTTTATCTGTCTGTCTCTCTATACTTTGCCTCTTTCTCCTTCTTTCTCTTCTCTCTCTCTCTCTCTCTCTCCATATTTTGCCTGTTTATCTGTCTGTCTCTCTCACTATCCATGATCTCTCTTTTTCTCCTCTCTTTCACTTGACTTTTCATCACCTCTCTCTTTTTCTTTCTTTTCTTGCTCTTTCTCCACCCTCTGTCTGTTTATCCGTCTGTGTCTCTCTCTTCCCATGATCCTTCTTTTTCTCCCCTCTTTCACTGAACTTTATTCTGCCTCTCTCTCCTTCTTTCTCTTCTATTCTCTTATCTCTGTCTCTTCACCCTCTTACTGTTTGTCTTTCTGTCTTGCTTCCCATGAGCTCTCTTTTTCTCCCCTCTTTCACTTGACTGTACTCTGCCTCTCCTCCCTCTTTCTCCTCCCTCTCTCCTTCTTTATCTTCCCTCTTTCTCTCTCTCCACCCCATCATTGTTTATCAGTCTGTCTGTCTCTCTTTCACTCCCATGATGTAGTTCACTTGGAAAAAGCGATAGTATCTCTCTTTTTCTCAGTCTCTCAGTCTCACTTCTCCATGATATAGTTTTCTCTCGTTTTTTCTACTTTCTCTCTCCACCCCTTTACTGTTTATCTGTTTGTCTCTCGCCCCTGATGTGGTCCACTTTGATGCAAAAGGTAAAAGTATCTCTTTTTTTTTCTCTCCTTTTTCTCTTTTCTTCAGCTTTATCCTGTCTTTCCTTCTTTTCTCTCCTCTCACTTCTCTCTCCCCACCCTTTTCTCTCTCTCCGTGATCTCTCTCTTTTTGTCTCTCTCCTTCAACTTTACTGTTCTCCACTTGTCCATTTCTCTCTCTCTTTCTCCCTCTCTCTGTCTCTCTCTTATCTATCTATCTATCTATCTATCTATCTATCTATCTATCTATCTATCTATCTATCCCCTTTTTGTGTCTGTCTCTCTCTCTCTTTTTCTCTCTTCTTCACCTTCACCTTGCATCTCTGTCTCTCTCTCTTCACCCAGTTTGACTTGTCCTCTTTCTTTTCCCTCTCTCCATCCTTTCCCCATCCCTCTTTTGCTTCTTTCTTCTTATCTCGCTTCTCTCTCTCTCCATCATGTGGTCACGTTGCATACAAAACGCGATACCACCTCTCTCCCCACAGCTTTACTTTGCTTTTCTTTTCTTTTTTCCTCTCTCCCCATTATCTCTCCTCCTTTCTCTTATTCTTGCTTTCTTATTGTCTTCTCTTTGTCTCTGTCTTTGTAAGATGTGGTCCAGTTGAAGTCATGACACACCCTCTCTCCTCTTTTCCTCTCGTCTCTCTCTCGTTGCTCTCTATCTTTTTTTTTTCTTTCTGTGGTCTGGTTTGAGTCCTGGAGGAAGGTGATAAACGGTAATTGCAGTGAGAACATTTGTAAAAACTACAGACGCATTGTTCCAAATGAAAGATCTCCCCTCTCATTTTCTCTCTTTTTCTCAATCAATCTAGAAGGAAAGTTTAGGGGGAGTTCAGACCTTTTACTGACAATGTGAACCCACATTTCTCTCTACCTCTCTCTGCCTCGCTCTCTCCATCTCTCTTTCACTCTCTTTCTCTTTCTCTCGCACAGATTTTCTTAATCAGGGAACTGCCCTCCCACTTCCTGAAGCAATCAGACCTGTGCCATTTCCTCAACAACATATTTCCACACTAAACACAGCAGAGAGAGAGAAAGAGAGAGACAGAGAAGAGAGAGAGAGAGAAAGAGAGAGAGACACAGAGAGATGGATGGAGACAGCGAGAGACAGAGCAAGAGAAGAGAGAGGCACAGAGAGAGAGAAGAGAGAGACACAGAGAGAGACAGAGCAAGAGAAGAGAGAGACAGAGCAAGAAGAGACAAGACAGAAGAGGAGAGAGGCACAGAGAGAGAGAGAAAGAAGAGAGAGAGAAGAGAGAGACAGAGAAACAGAGAGAGAGAGACAGAGGAGAGAAGAGGAGAGAGACACAAAGAACGAGAGAGAGAGAGAGAGAGAGAAGGAGAGAAAGACAGAGGGAGAGACAGAGAGAGAAACAGAGAGAGAGAGAGACACAGAGAGACGGATGGAGACAGAGAGAAACAGAGCAAGAGAAGAGAGGAGAGAGACAGAGAGAGAGCAAGAGAAGAGTGAGGTATAGAGAGAGAGAGAAGAGAGAGACACAGAGAGAGCAAGAGAAGAGAGAGACAGAAAGAAATAGCAAGAAGAGAGAAGAGAAGAGAGAGAGAGCAAAAGGAGAGAGGAGTGAAGAGAGAGACAGAGAGACAGCAAGAGGAGACAGGAGAGAAGAGGAGAGAGGCACAAAGAGAGAGAGAAGAGAGAGAGACACACATAGAGAGAGACAGAGCAAGAGAAGAGAGGAGAGAGACACAGAGAGAGCAAGAGAAGAGAGAGAGAGAGAGAGAGGCACACAGAGAGAGAGGAGAGAGACACAGAGAGAGAGAGAGAGAGAGAGAAGAGGAGAGGCACAGAGATAGAGTAAGAGAGAGACAGAGCATGAGAAGAGAGGCACAGAGAGAGAACAACAGAAGAAAGACAGAGAGCAAGAGAAAAGAGGAGAAAGGCACAGAGAGAGAGAGAGAGACAGAAAGAGAAGTGCAAAACAGAGAAAGAGAGATGTTGATGTAAATCTGTTCTGTGTTATCAGTTAATACTCCATAGAAGTCAAATAGTTCATTTTAACCAAATCATTTTACTCATAAAACTTGATTAATTCCACAGGGCAATTCTGAAATCAATCAAGATTTTTTTTTTTTTTTTTTTTTTCTTTTTGCTGGTTTTGTTTCTTTGTGATTTTGAAACATAGAAACCAATGGTGGAAGAAGTAAAAATAAGTAAAAGTGCAACTACAGGAACAAATAATAATAATAATACTTGAGTGAAAATATGACATGAAAAAAATCTACCCAAGTAAAAATATTGAAGTAACTGTTTTAAAATTGTGTAAAAAGAGAAAGTATTTTTCAAATATAGAAGCTTTTGGTGGAAGAAAGACTCAATTTTGTTACTTAAGTAAAAGTACAGATATTGGAACAGAAAATACTCAAGTAAAAGTAAAAGTATCACTTGAATAAAAAAAAAAAAAAGTAAAAGTACTGAAGTAACTGTTTAAAAATGTACTTAAAGTGTAAAAACTGAAGGTATTTAGAAACCAGTGGTGGAAGAAGGACTCAATTTTGTTATTCAAGTAAAAGTACAGATACTAGAACAAAGAATACTCAAGTAAAAGCAAAAGTATCACTTGAAAAAAATGTACTTCAAGTGTAAAAATTTACAGTATTTCATGCAGATTTTAAGGTTTAATAAAGCTCCAAATGTAGTAATTTTGATTTTTGATTTGTGTTCTGTAGAGATCATTGAATTGGTAGTTTTGTCTTAGCTGTTTTTAGTTTTTTATTATTTTATTTGCTCAAATTATGAACTTGAAAGTATATTATGAAAATACTTTTACTTTTCAGCCCTGTTCAAAAATGTAGTGGAGTAGAAAGTGCAGATATCTTCGCTCAAATGTAATGAAGTATAAGTAAAAAGTATCCTCTGTAAAACTGACTTAAGTAAAGTACAAATATCTAAAATGTATACTTAAGTACAACTACCTTTACCCGATTACCTTCCACATTTGATAGAAACTGTCTACGCCACTAAAACACTCCAAAACGTCTTGTGTTTGTTGCGGTCTCTTTGTTCAACTTAAAACTTCTTCTTCTTCTTCCTTGCTTTTTTCCCAGTCTATCTCTTTATTTATTTATTTTTTTATTTATTTATTTACTTTCCTCCTGACCCTCTTTCATTTCTGTTTCCCTCTATCCAAACGTTCTCACGCGGCGTCACAGTCGGAAAACCGCGGCGACACAAACACAAACAGCCCCGCTTTGAAATCCACTAATCTCCCCGAGCCGAGCCTCCTCCTCCTCCTCTCTCAGACCGGTACGATCTGACCTTGACGGAGAACAAAATGAAAAAAAAAAAAAAAAAAGAGAGGCAGAGAGAGAGAAGAGCGAGGGAAGAGAAGAGGAGAGGAGAGAAAGTAGAAGGAAGAGGGGTGGAAGGGAGTTACTGGAGGAGCACACAAGAGAAGGCAACACAGGCAGAAGCTGAATCAAAGAAGCAAAGAGGGCAGGTACGTCTAACTTTACACCGCATTTATTTACACCTTTTAACTAGCATGCAAATTCACTTAGGATACAATCATTTCAACTTTTTTTTGAGCTTGTAGTGCATTATTATATGCATGAACCTCACACATCTTTATCTTTAATATTCCTGGATGAAAAGTTGTGTTTTTACCCAAAGAAATTGCGTAAAAGTTGCACATTTTAGTGATTGCAGAAGCTATTTTGTTGTCTTGGATCTAAAGGACACGCTGGATGTCAAGGCACTGTTAACTCTAAACTTTTTGTTGAATTCAATTAAGTTAAGCAAAGCAAAGAAAGTGAAATTTTAAGAGTTGCAAAATAAAAATAAAATTTGTAGTGAAGGAAAAGAGACTGTAAAAATACTTGTTAGGAATCATGTTAGGAATATTTGTTTATGTTTTTATTTTTTAAGTTCAAATTTTACCTCATCACGTTGCGTCAAATTCTGTTGAAGAGTTTGGAAAATGTATCTGAAATTTTGGAATATTGCGAAGGGAGAGATGTTTTCCAGATGGGATAAATCTGATGTTGTGGAGATTGAAGAGTGCCCCACCCACCGAGGAAATGTCTCTGGCAACTGCAGGGCTGCAGTCTGCTGCGCTGCGCTGCTCAAGAGCACAAACACACATTATATAACATGTTCAAATAGGAGACATGACATATTTATCTGAGTATTTTTGGCGTGTGTTCAAAATAGCCAAAGTTGGAAGGAATTTTCAAGAGTTACACTGCAAAAACTCAAGCCAAGTGAAGAAGACTGGAATTTAGAAAGATTTAGTTTTAAGGCTTTTTGTACTTAAAATATGAGATGTTGTTGCTCTGTCTGGAATGTTTCACAGTATGGTATTAAATGCTTTTATCTTCATGGAGACCAAACTAGACCAAACTACAGATCAGATCTGTGGAGAGGTGATCCCGCTCACAGTCAGAAAGGTATTTTTGAGCATTAGAAACACCTGTATTGGAATAACTGAGAAGTAGAGCTATTACTGTGGAACATTCTAGTCAGAGCACCGTATTTTTCGGGCTATAAGTCGGTCCGGAGTATAAGTCGCACCAGCCAAAAAATGCAGTATGAAGAAGAAAAAACATATATAAGTCGCACCAAGCTATAAGTTGCATTTGTTGGAGGAAATTTATTTGATAAAATCAGAGACCAGGAACCGACATTTGATAAAAGTAATAACAGAACAGAGAACAACAGACTGTTAACGTCACATATGAACAGTTCTTCAGATAACTGTAACATAAACAACAGAACAGAACAAGTTTACCAAACTCTCCATCTCACTCCAGATCACTAAATCCATTAAATTCTTCATCCTCGGTGTCACTTCTGAGCAACTCCACGACATCTTGAGGTAAACAGAGCACCGCTTTCTCTTCTGCGTAGCTTGCGTCAAACTCAGCATCAGTTTCAGTTAGAACTATTTCTGAATCCCGACAGGATGGTTTCGGTGTCACTGAAGTCCAGGCTTTGTCCATCCATCCAGTGACTTCCAGTGGCTTTCCGTCAGTCTCTCACAAGTTTCTCGCTCACTCCAAACTTTCTTTCTGCTGCTCGATTACCGTTTTCGGCTGAACATTTCACTACTTGCAGCAGGACAGAGGCTTTTTCTAAGGAGACATGTGCAGTAGAGCGATGTGACAGTTGTACAGGAGTAACAGGAGCAGCAGATCCTGACACACAAGCCTAGAGCCTCTCATGGCTGTCAGTGTGAAAATTTTAATATGTAAGTTGCATCGGAGTATAAGTTGCAGGAAACACCCAAACCATGAAAAAAGTGTGACTTATAGTCTGAAAAATACGGTAATGACACATCCATAGGAACAAACAGGTGACGGATCCCCCACCGAAAAGTTACACAATGAACCTTTAAGATGACTTTCACTTGACGAGTAAAAAGATCCACCAATGAGCCAGACTTTTGTACTTCAAATATGAAAACACATCTTGGTACATTTAAAGGTGCATTGTGTAACTTTTCCGGAGGAGGGTCCATCAAATGCTTGTCTCCAGTATGGTATTAAATCTGTCTAAACCTTCAATCTTCATGGAGACCAAACCAGACCAAGTTACAGGTCAGATCTGTGGAGAGGCGACCCCGCTCACAGTCAGAATGATGTTTTTCTAGATATTTTTGAGCTATAAAACCAGCTGTAATTGAATAACTGTAAAGTAGAGCTGTTTAATGTCATACTGTGGAACATTCCAGGCAGAGCAATGACATCTCCATAGAAACCAGCAGGTGACCAATCTCCAGTCGAAAAGTTACATATTGAACCTTTAAGATGACTTGAATTAAGAAAGTTTTATCATGATTTGAGTAAATTTCAATTGACAAGTAAAATGGAGCAAGACTTTTGTACTTCAAATATGAAAACACATCTTGGTACATTTCAAGGTACATTGTGTAACTTTTCTGGTGCAGGTTCCGTCAAATGTTTGTCTCCATGGAGATGTCATTGCTTTGTCTGGAATGTTTCAAAGTATGGCATTAAACCTGTCTAAACCTTCTATCTTCATGGAGACCAAAGCAGACAAAGTTACAGATCAGATGTAAGATAGATCTGTTTAATGTCACAGTACTGAACATTTGAACAAGCAGGTGATGCTCCGCAAACCAAAAAGTTACTCACTGCACCTTTAAAATGACTTGGATTAAGTCATTTGAAAGTTTTATCCTGTTTTGAATAAATTTCATTTGGCAAGTAAAATGATCTACCAATGGAATGAGACTTTTGGTACTTCAAATACAAAAACACATCTTGGTACACTTCAAGGTACATTGTGTAACTTTTCTGGTGCAGGTTCCGTCCAATGTTTGTCTCCATGGAGATGTTACTGCTGTGTCTGAAATGTTTCAAAGTATGGCATTAAACCTAAATTTAAACCTTCTATCTTCATGGAGACCAAAGCAGACAAAGTTTAGATCAAATGTAAGATATTGACCATTTTAGGCAGAGCAGTGACATCTCCATAGAAACAAGCACCCCAAACCAAAAAATTACACATTGCACCTTTAAAATGACTTGAATTAAGAAAGTTTTATCCTGTTTTGAGTAAATTTCACTTGGCAACTCAAAAGATCCTTTGGTACTTAAAATATGAAAATACAGCTTGGTACACTTAAGATAAGAAAAACAACTATTTGCACTTAAAATAAAAAAAGAGAATCTAATATTGCTTGACTTAAGAAAAACACATTTATTTTATTAGTAAATCCTTTTATTTGACAAGTGAAATTTACTAAAATCACAATAAAAATGTCTTAATTCAAGTTACTTTAACTTAAAACTTAAAGCTGGATTTGAGTTTTTGCAGTGTACAAGTCAAATCTCTCTGGTCGAGGTTTAGGGCTGTAAATATTTGAAGATTTGAGAATTTTGAAAAGGATTCAAAAATTCACAAATGGCAAAACCAGAGCTCTTTTTTTCTCAGAGGTTATTTTCTTTGTAAAAATGACAGAAGCTGTAGCTCTTCAAGGACAAGGTTTAAAAGAAAAGAGGGAAATTGGGCTTTAAAATGTCAAATTGCACAAAATGACTTGACAAAAACCCAACTGTCCACTTTGTTGTTGCCATGGACATGTTACAGCTTTGCACTGAATGTTCCACAGTAGTACGGTGGCCTCTGCACAGATCTGACCTGTAACTTCAGCTAGGAGTCACCTGCTTGTTCAGTGCCATTGCTTTGTCAAAGAAAGTTGGTCTTTAATTTGATCTTTGTTTTAGCGAAATCTGACCACAAACGCATTTTCTTGTCTGTGTTCTAATGTCGTTTTCTCATCACAAACAGACCTGGAGTTGTTTTGTTTCATTCACACTTGTTTAACACACAAACCCTGCACATTTAGGCTGAGTTCTTCTCTCAGATGTGTAAATGCTGCGTTCATGTGCTCCTCAGGAACTGGGGAAAATGTTTTTACGAGCTGAAAAATGCAAATTAACGCAGCGAGTCGGAAAAACAACTCAGGCCATAAACGTCTGCTCGACTTTCACACCTGACGTCACAGCTCCTGCAGAGTGAAAATCAGCTGATCTGTCTCTTTATGTAACATGTCTGAGCTCTTGGATTAAAAGTGATTACATTTAGGAGTTTATTGTCAGTTTCCACAAGAAACTACATCTGTTTAATATTGATGTAATGTTAGGTAAAGTAAACCAATAACCCGATGTTTAATTTTGAGAAGACTACAGCAACCTCCGCTCTTAAAGGGCCCATCTCATGCAAAATAACTCTTTTAACATTGTATCTTCTGCACATATACAAGCACAATTTGGGTTTTGGTACATCTATTACACAATAGTTATGAAATCTTACTGATTTCTTGGAGGCAGTGACAGACCAGGAACTATGAAAGGCCGACTATTGCTCATCTCCCCACCCGTCCTGAGAAAGCACAGGCTCCGCACTCCAAACGTGACGTAGGCTCTGAGTGAGTCGCTCTTCCTCCGCACATCTCAGGGAGGGAGGGGGAGACAGGCGTGCACCCTGATAGCAGTAGGAATAAACTTTTATTCATCATGGAGATACAGCGCGTTCAGCCGCAAGTGTTGGACCCGGAATCAGACGAGGACTTTGAGGTGCACGAAGCTCAAGCACTGCGTCGACATCAGCTGAACATTACTGACTGGTAAAGTATTAATAAACACTAGTAGATCAACTTATTATATCTTGTAAACTGTAAACTGTAGAACAGGGGTGCTCAATACGTCGATTGCGATCTACCAGTCGATCGCCAAGGTCGTGTGGGTAGATCGCTGTGTCTTGTCTCGGACTCGCGCTTAGACTCGGTCTTGTCTCTCACTCAAGGTCTGACACTCAACAAGTGCGATCATATTTCATTACAGCCGCTGCTGTTGGCAATAAACTTGTACCGGGGTGCAGGAGCGTGTGGGGCGTCTCAGTGCAGCCTGTGCGCTCATTTGAAACCTGCGGAGACTCTACGGCACATCACTAATACACACGCTCCCTATGCAC